TTCCTTTCTCCCAAAATGGCTAGATCGCAGGAGCCATGGAGCTGTCTGTCTCTTGAAGAAGGGCTGTTCACGCAAGTTTTGTATGCTGGAGGCCCGGTTATCAGTGGGACATCTTCCTTTCTCCCAAAATGGCTAGATCGCAGGAGCCATGGAGCTGTCTGTCTCTTGAAGAAGGGCAGCATTCTAATCATTTTAAAGTTATAGAAAATTTGGCGACATGGATCCAATAGATGGAGTAATAGTTATGTCGCTGGACTTCCAAGTAATTGACCATGGTTTGAGTCTCAGATCCTGCAGCTTAAAACATACCAGGCACATGTGCATGTGTGTCCAAAATCCCAAAAGGAGAATGGAAGAGAAGGAATTGCAGCATGTCCATCCTCACTGGGGGAGATGATTTCTCATTTTCTCTCTCTCTCTCTCTGGCAAGTACATGTACCCTATAATAAAAATCTCTCAAAAAAAAAACAAAGAAAATCTGGCAACCTTTCTGAAAGCAATGCTGATTCCAGCTTTATGCATCCTAAGTACAAGCTAAAAATTTATCTATTCTTGAATACACAGAACACATTTAAGAATAATTACAGGGACGAGCAGTTAGCGTAATGGCTATGTCACTGAACTCCCATGTAGTCGACCATGGTTCTACTCCCGGACCTGGTGTCTTAAACTCATGTCAGGCATGTATATGTATATGTGCCCAAGATCCCGAGAGGAGAACGGAGGAGAAGGGATTGCAGCATGGCCTTCCCCCCTGGGGAGTGATTTCTGTCTTTCTGTCTCTCTCTGTCTTTCTGGCAAACACATGCACCCTATAGCAAAAATCTCTGAAAAAAAAAAGAATAATTACAAATTAATATTACTTTCTCCTATAGTTTGAATATGTTCCCAAAAATTTATATGTTGAGTCATTGTAATGAGATTAAGAGGATAAAAACTTGATCCAATTATATCAAAAGGTGAGATTTGAGAGAAGAGATTAGAATTAAGGTCAGTGTGAGCATATGGTAGAATTCTGGTAGAAAAGAAATGAGACCAAAAAATTCACATGGAATACAAACCATACTGTCCTGTCCTCTACTGTGTCATGATGTAGCAAGAAGATCCCTCCCAGAGATAACCTCTGGAATTTGGACTTCCAAACCATGAGCTAAATGAACCTCTATTTTTATAAGTCATCCAGTCCAACTATTTCTGTTAGCATCACAATAGCAGACTAAGATACTTTCCTTAGTAATTCCAGATGGTCACCAGAAGAGAAAAAACAATATGTAAGATTAAAGAAGACCAGGCTTTTTTGAACACTACTTTTAACAATAAATCTTAATTACCATGATTAAAAAGACATATGCATTCATCTACGCATGATTACATTATCAATAAAGTACTTATTATGACACAACTAGATATTAGACATTGTGTTAGACCGTAATAATACATAGAAGAACAAAAGAAATATAGTTCCTGCATGAATACTCCTCTGTTTAACAGGGAGAAAGACATTAAAAATTGACACGGAAAAAAATATAATTACAGATTGTACTGTGTATTATAAAAAAATGTAATGATTACTCAGAGAGAGTATAAGAGAGGAAGTTTAAATTAAATTGGGAGGATTGGGAGTAAACCATTCAGAATGACGAAGTAAGAAAGAACTTGCAAAAATCTGATCCCACATAAAGTAATGATAATTGAGGGAAAGTTTTATAATAAAAATTGCCAAAACTCTATAAATTAACCAAAAGCTAACAATTCAAGGAGTATTTATTCAAGAAAAATGGTTGCATATAAGTAGAAACAATAAGCTGCACCCTGTGCTACAGCATTTAATCTATTCCTTTGAAAATAAATTTGTCCTTATGGTAAATTACATTTTTCAAAATGTTCACTGCTTTCCATGTGGAAGGATTATCATTCTCTACTAGTATCACTATTGTTCATGTGACTTTCTTTAGTCTATGAAATAAAAATAAATATTTCATTTACCAAAAACAAAAAAAAAATATGATCTCAAATTCCAAAGTAATTGTTTTAAATTTGACTACAATAGACATATCCTTTGTATAAGGGGACTTCAAAAAGTTTGTGAGATGTGGAATTAAAGTAGAAGTTTATTTGGGTGCAAAAAAAAATGAAATCTATACATATTTTCCTAATATATACTTTTCATAAAGTTTCTAAAGACCCCTCATGTCTTGAACTAATTTCTCCATTTGTAGGCATGTGAGTTACATAGGTCTCTCATAAATGATGTTTTTGTGTGCATGTGCTCTTAGGCACAAGTGAATGTACATGTGAGAGATAAGTGAGTATATTTATTAAGGAGGATTTTTTTGGAGAAGTTTTTGCTATAGGGTGCATGCACTCTCCAGAGAGACAGAGAGACAGAAAGCGAGAAATCACTACCCAGGGGGAATGGCCATGCCGCAATCCCTTCTCCTTCATTCTCCTCTCGGGATCTTGGGCACGCATGCACACGCACCTGGCGTGAGTTTAAGCCACCAGGTTTGGGACTGGAACTGCAGTTGACTACATGGGAGTCCAGCAACATAGCCATTACACCAACTGCTGGTCCCTATTAAGGATGATTTTTAAAATTAGAATTCTGGGCCAGCTGGTGGCAAGGTGGTTTAGGTAACTGAAGCTCCCATAGATAACTGCATGGTTGGAGTCCCGACCCAGAGAAGGGATTGCAGAATGACCATTCCCCATGAAGAGTACTTTCTCTGTTTCTCTGTCTCATTCTCTGGCAAGTGCATGCACCCTCTAGCAAATTTTCAAAAATAAAAATAAGAATTCCATGTGTATGAGTGATTCTTCCTGACCTATTATCGCTGGGTCTCATATTTCTTAAAACTTTTGCTCCATAGATATAATAAAAAGTTGGAGACATTCCTACAACAAATTAGGTATTTGTGGACTTGATAAATGAAACAGAATTACTGTAAATGTTATATAATTAAAATATGAATTCTATAGAAGACTTTGCCTTCACCACAGCCTTCTTAAAGGCACTCTTAACCTCTTTGTTCCTCACACTGTAGACCAGTGGATTCAGCATGGGAATGACTATGGAATAGAAAACGGACGCTATTTTATCTGTGTCCATGGAATGACTGGAGCTGGGCTGTAAGTACATAAAGATGCCTGACCCATAGAAGATGCAGACTGCCGTGAGGTGAGAAGCACAGGTGGAAAATGCCTTCTTCCGTCCTTCAGATGATTGTATCCTTAGGATGGTGATAAGTATAAATAAATAGGAGATCAAAATTACTAGGATAGAAAAGAAGACATTGAAACCCACCACAAAAAATATAACCATCTCACTGATATAACTGTTTGAGCATGACAGAGATAAGAGAGGGGGAGCATCACAGAAAAAGTGTTTGACTATATTGGACCTGCAGAAGGAGAGCCTGAAAGTATTCCCAGTGTGGATGGAGGCATTGAGGAGACCACAGACATAGGACCCTATGACCAGACAAGCACACGCATTTGTTGTCATGGTGGTGGTGTAATGCAGTGGTTTACACACTGCTGCATAGCGGTCATAGGCCATAGAGGCCAAAAGGAAATTTTCCACAGTGATAAAGGCTACAAAGAAGAAGAACTGGGTGACACAAGCATTATAGGAGATGATTTTGTCACCTGTGAGAAATTCTGCCATTACCTTGGGAGTGACAGCAGAGGAATAACCAAAGTCCACCAGGGAGAGGTTACTGAGGAAAAAGTACATGGGGGTGTGGAGCCGAGAGTCCAAGAGAATCAGTGCAATTAGTCCTAGGTTTCCAACCAAACTGACAATGTAGATGAAAAGAAAGATGATAAAGAGTGGGATTTGTAGTTTGGGGTCATTGGTTAATCCCACAAGAATGAACTCAGTCACCTTTGTACTATTCTCCATTGGAAATTATGTGATTTCCCTGTAAAGAAAACAGAATTGGAATAATAAATGAAATGAGAACTCTAGTGATATCAATCAGCATGTCCATTCTGTGCTTTCAGTAATGTAATAACTCGCTTCCAGGAGTCCTAAACTAGAGCATGCCATGACAACAAAACACAATTTTTAAGATATCAATAGGTAATACATTGCCCCCAGGTAAAAGGATTTTGGAGATTATGCAACCCGTATCCTAACTTTAGAAATGGCTGGACTAAGGTACATAAAAGAAAATATTCACGCAAAATCTTCAGATTTATTACTAACTGGAATAGGTTACTCCTAATTTTAAATTTTGTTAGAACCCACACACAAACTGTCCTCTATACTAAACTATAACACCTTAGAGTCTTAGACTATTCTGACTGCTACAACAAAGTATCAGACTTGGTAGATTTAAGGTTCTTTGTGGAAATTTTGTGGTAGATCCTTGATCTGATCATCACACACTGCAGTATACATACTTTGAAAAACCATTGTATCCCATAAAGATGTACAACCATTAAAAGTAGATAAGAAATTTAATTATTTGTATTTTATGATTTATTTATATTTAATTATTGTACTTTATCAGATATAATTTGATTTTTCAAAGCATGAATGTAGTGCATGGAAATAAAATTGAAGATATTACTATACATGTATGTATATATATATATATATAAATTTTCAACAGAAAACTTTTTATTCTTGTGTCTGTTAAATGTATTTTTTTCTGAGGGAGTGGCTCAGAAACAAATATCCCCTTCTATACAGTCTCCAGTGTCCACCCTTGTCCTTCTCACTATCAAATCTTCAAGTCTCTCAGATTCTGCCACCGAGTGCAGATACTCAGTATAGAGTTGTCTGTTCAGCTCCTTTCTCCATTTTTTTAACTGGATTAGTCACTTTAAGAAACTTTCTAAGAGAATTATTTATTTTATTTAATTTTATCATTTTTTTTAACATGCTACAGAGCATGTGCATTCATTAGTGCGAAGCAGAGAGAGAGAGAGAAACCAAGGCACCAAATCCGAGACTCAAACCATGGTCAGTCATGTGGGAGTCCATTGCCTTAACCACCGTGCCTCCTGCTGGCCCCATCATTTTAAGAAACTTAAAATGGGTGATAGAAATTCATTTCTCATAGTCCTGAAAGCTAGGAAGTCCAAGATCAACTCACTGACAGACCCGCTGATGAGGACCTGTTTTCTAGTTCATGGATAGTGTGTTCTTGCTGTGTCCTCACTTGATAGAAAAGGTTAACTAGCTCTCTGGGATCCCTTTTACAAGAGAACTAGTTCCGTTAATGTGGGTCCCTCTCTCATGACTTAATCACCCCCCCCAATCCTCCACTTCTTAATACCATCAACTTGGAGATGAGGAATGTGAACTGGAGGTGGGGTAGGGCGTCACAATCAGATGATAGAAATAGTGGTACGAGAAATAAAGACACCTAGAAAATACAGTGTTTCATTTTTATTACTTTAATATAGTTTTTAACTTATACATACAGATGTCCTTTATCTAAAGGGGATTTATGCAGCACCTACTAAGATACCCTTTGCACTAAAAACTACTAATTTGAATCAATACCACAGACAAATATTCCTCAAATTTTGAAAAAAAAAAATCAATGTGCTAAGAATTGTTTTAAAACTTTTTTGCCAACTTTCTTCTCCACATGTGAAATCTTAGGTTTTAGTCTAACACCTTCATGGAAAAATAAAAGACTTCAGTGTGTTGAAAGAAATGAAGAACTGCAAAGATTCTTTGATGCATTTGTTGGTCTCTTATTGTTTGTTCCATAGTTAGAAAATTTTCTTAATGGATTGAACTGATAACAACTGATTCTCATGACAAACTAACACATTCATTCTTCTTGACAAAGTACTCTCTTCTAATACAAATGTCTTGCATTCCTCAAAGAATAACACACTCTTCAGAGCTTTCTTAGTCTCTCCTAACTTCTTTCTCTTCACACGCTACAATGCCATTTTAATCAGAATTTATCACTTTGTTATTCTAAAGAATTTAATTTACATCAATGTACAGTTTGTTGTAAGTGGAGGTCATGATTGGTAATGACTTCAGCTATAATAAATATTTATTGAATATTTGTGTTCCCATCACCAAACTAGAAATGTCTCCCTTACCACAGTTATTCCTCACACATCAAGTGAATTGTTATTCCCAATTGAAGATAAGAAACCTGAAGCCTCCTGACATTTAGTTACATCCTGAAGGCTGAAGGATGTAGCAGAAGTGAAATGTGAAGCCAAGTCACTTTGTTTTGTTTGTTTGTTTTTTAATTTTTTTAAATTTTATTTCAAGTTCTTTTATATATTCGATCATGTTATTTAGCTTGCAAAGTGAGTATTCCAACATGTATACATTTCTCCCCAGTCCAGTTCATAATACTATAAAGTTATCTTCAATAGATAATACCCCATTTCTTTGGAATCTAAGTCTTAACTCTTTATCATTTAGGAATATTCCTTTAAACTTTTTACCTTTAACCTAAACTTGGCATGAGATAGTAACTCATTTAATTAACTTATTAATTGATTAAATCTATCATTGGAAGTCAATGTGAATAATTGAAAAGAATTATCTTGAAAATCAAATATGTTTACCAATTGGCATGTCTTTGTGACGATAACCCACCTTTCTAGGAATCAATTGAATAATGAGAACTGGATCCACAAATGCTTTTAACCACCTTCAACACCTCAAAAAAATCTTTGAAAAATCAAGAGTGAACATGATCCTTTAGTAACACCAACCAATTAACCACAGACAATACTAGATACTGCTTATTCCTTAATTTTCTTTCTAAGTACTAAGTAATTCTGTATGGTGTACCAGGTTGTGTGCTAATTAACAGACCAACATTGATGCAGAAAAACAAATAAATAAAAAGCATATTTCCTGACCTTAGAATGCTAGGTAGACTGAGACAGACATCTAACTGGATGAATGATAAATGCTTTTTGTAAGGTCTGGGAGAAGGGAAAAGAAAGATGGCGGAAACATTTCCACCGCAGAACTTTCCTGTTTTCCACATCTGGCCCACCATCACCAACAGAATTTCCCACCCTTCAGCATTTGGCGTGCCCACCAAAGTTGACCAGAAACAGTGAACTTCATTGGCCAGACAACGACCCATGGTGACCACCTATTGGACAACCGCCCTTTAAGAACAAGCAGCACCCAACCTGGGTGTGACTCCCTCAGCCTCTGACCAGACCGAGGGACCTCACCTGAGAGCTTTTTGCAGAATAAATTATATTGGTTTTATTAAACCCCAAAGCCTGATTGTGGTATTTTCATCTTTGCCGCCTCTGACTTTGCTGCCACTCCCAAATCAAACCTAACATCTGGTGAAACCCGGGAGGGGCTGGGTGCCTCTTGGTTAGAGCCCCTCCATCTAACCTCTCACGTGGTCATCCGGCTGAGAAGGTAAGCGACCCTACCCCCGTTTTTTGGACCTCTAGAGTGTTCCTGTCTGTAGTCAAGGCCGTGCCACTCCCCATCCATCCTGGTTGCCCCCCGGGGTATCCTAAGGATGGTCTGGTCTCGGGGATGCCTAGTCGATACTTTCCTTCACCCTCCTATCCGTGGAGAGATTATACCCAAGGGGGACGCCTCTCGGCTCATTCGCTCTACCCGAGGTCTAATCTGTCATGGGATCTGCTGCTTCCAAACTTGATCCAAAAACACCTTTAGGGTGTGTCCTCTGTTATCCAAATGCTGCCTGGTCTTCCTGTAGACCATGGCTTGGCCCAAATATTTACTTACCAGTTTTTGTCAGAGTAACGGCAAATGGAAGGAAATCCCATATGTTCAGGCCTTTTAGTATCTACGCTCTCATCCCCATCTATGTATTACCTGCTCTCCCTCCCAGATTTTGCTTGCTAAGGTGAGTGAGGGCCAAAAACCTGCTCCTAGCCTTTCCAAGGAAACTTCTGAACCCCCTGAATACTCTGCTCTCACTATTTCCCTGGAATCTCTCTCCTCTCTGCCAAGAGCCCCTCCTGACCCCCCCATTAAACTTTCCTGAACCCTCTGTCCCCCTAATCTCCCTACCCTGAAAATCCTCCCCACCCCCCTTGGTCAACAATCCCTCTATCCTCCCCCATTGCTGGCTGTACACGCTAGAATGATCCACCCCCACTCCAGGTCATGGCTCCCTTATGGGAAGTGGCCAGAGCTGAGGGAGTCATTCGAGTTCCTTTTTCCCTCATGGATCTGTCCACCATTGAAAAGCGCTTGGGCTCTTTCTCTGCCAACCCCATCCATTTATCAAGGAATTCAGATATCTTATAGAGGCCTGTGACCTCCCCTGGCATGACGTGCAGGAAATGATGACACCCACCATGACCAGGTACAAGCAACGGGAAGAAAGTATGCTGGCAGGGCCCACATGGCAGACGCCACCACAGCGGTAGGTGCTGCGGCAATCCCCACAGTTAATCCCAACTGGAGATATCAGGAAGGTGACCTTGGTCGCCAGCATTGTGACTACATGTTATGATGCCTTATGGCAGGGATAGAATAAGCAGCCCAAAAGGCAGTAAATTAAGACAAATTGTGAGAAGTCACCCAGGGTCTAGAAGAAAATCCAGCCATATTTTTGAGCCGCTTCACCGAGGCTATGCAACTCCATACCCGACTCTCCCAGGAAGATCCTGTTGGGGCAGTAGTTCTGGTCACCCATTTTATCACCCAGTCAGCCCCGATAATAGGGAAAAAAAAGAAAAACTCAAAAAGGCTGAACAGGGCTCTCAGACCTTCATACGAGACCTGGTGAATATGACAATTAAAGTTTTCAATTCCTGAAAGGAGAATGCTGAGGTAGCCCATCACAAACAGGCCAAACAGATGGCTGCCATGCAAGCCCAAGCCCTGGTGGCTGCCCTGCGGCTGGCACCTCAGAAGGGGTTCCCTATACGCAGTATCCCCCCAGGAAACTGCTTCAA